CTTGCCTTGTTTGCGCAACCAGGGTGTTGATCTAAGAAGAGTAGAGACCAAGCGATGACTTGTTCAAGAGGAATGAAGATCCTCACTCCGCACTTGACTTCGGTTGATGTCACCCAACTATCGGGCTGTGGTCCGAAAGATGATGTCCACGTCTGGTTGGATGCACTTTTAACATAACGAAGCAGTGGCGCTCATGTTGTAATCTTATTTGTCCCTTTCCTCCCGTTTATCTTTTCACTCTCGATACACGCTAATATATTGCACATTTGTATTGCAGCACAATAGCTGAAATATGTTTCTCATCTCAAGCTGACGTGTAATGATGATGACATGATTACACGGAGCGCTCTTACCCGTTCCCTCCTTCTGTAATGGCGTGCAGACGACTTTACGAGACATTCCTCGAAACCGACACTAGCGGCTTGTTTACAGTCGTCTGGTTGTCGAATCACCCGTTTGTCTTTGTATGATACTGTGTTGGGGTTAAACTCTACACGTGTGGAACTAACGCAAGTCTGTGTACGCAGTAATGGCTCGTGGCCGAACGGCACAAGGACATCCGAACACATCGAGCTGTTAGCACACAACGTGTATTCTGACAAGAACGTGTTCAGAGCATCTATCAAGTAGCTGAGGCCAAGCCACAGGTGGGTGCGTAATCGATAGACAGACATCCATGCGCAGTGACAGTGAATTACTGGGCGTGAACCTCTGACTGGCGATAGTGACTCATACGCCACAGTTGGTGACTTGCAGGTAGTTGTGCCAGTAATTGCGAAATTCGCTGCGTATGCTTGCGCATTAGTGCTCTCAAGTGTAAATACTTTCTAGTGACACCATGTATTGTTGTCTGCACACCACATTATTCATGTCTAGTTGCGGCGCGCCTTTTCTACCTTCCATCTTACAAAAACGATCAGTTCACTGACCTGATGATAGGCATTACCCCGCCACACACTCTCAACTACATGACCTGGCCGCTTAGAATGAATGAGGTGGTGTCGACCTCTACACATACATATTGTCTCCAGTCCCTCACCAGCCTATGTCCCACTGTTCATGCTGCGATTCGACCTGGTCCCCGTATCTATCGTATTCAGCACATTTAAATTGTGTTTTGTATGTCTGTAAAGTCCGGACACATGAGTAAAAATGCATACATTAGATACAATAATGTCTTTCGTTTTGTCTGATACACTGGTCGCCCAGAACGCGCTTTGTTCATGATACTGCCTGTTTCCTTAAATTTCTTAATCACCTTTGCCACAATGAAAAATCAACTTGAATTCTTTTCACTTGACGCACATTAACTTCACCTGCTATTTTTCGATATGACCATCCTTCAGTTCCACTGGGAAGTACCATCACAACTCGTTCTTCCTTTGTTAAAGCCATGTTTAATCTTTGGAGGCAAAAAGTTGGTCAACAATTTTAGTTTCTATTTCGTTTTAATTTAGCGATAAACATCCAATTATCCTGTGCCCAAAATTTACGGACACCTTGTACTTAGGGTGTACTTGCTTTCTGTTGCTATTTGCTCGGTATTTCCCGCTGTATCTGTTTGCGTTACTGGGACCCGTTCTTCGTTGTCCGTTCGAACGCTTCTCTGGACATTCTAGAATCACCATTACTGTACATTTTTGCCCTATGTTCTCAACCGAAAACAACCTGGTTGCTAACCACCACTCCCGAGAAGTATGTGGTGCGGTTTATTGTAACTTGCTCCTGAATATGCTTTTTGCTACCAAATCCCACCATGAAGCACTGGCCTACTTTCGATCTTATCCTCAAGTGGACACACCTGATGATAGTATGTAGTGCTTTTTGCATGCTCGAGAAACAGAGATGTTCCACTTATGCCTCCATCACCATTGTCGCTCGAATTCTCTAAGAGGCAGAACACGCTAACTTATTCATCTTCTAATCCGCTTCCATTTTCTAAGCCTTGATGAACCATTACATTTCCCAGCGATATGGCAGCCGCCCTGTTGTCGTGGTTGGCGCTTTGGGCTCGTGCGTTAGTCTTTTGATCGCTGCCTTCGCACCGTCCATCGCAGTGTGGGTCGTGGCCGTTGGAGTCGGAGTCGGTAAGCTTGCACTTTTTCTTTGCTGTCATGCTCATTTTTCCTTTCAACTTCACTTGCTCCCCAGGCACTGACTGGTGAGTTTTACACCGTGTGTAGCTTTAACAATCCCTTCCCTGCATGTGATCTCATTCTCGTTTGACCTGCTTATTAACCCTGCGATAGTAAGCACCCGTGTAAACCCTAGTTAAGTCGAAACACTCATTTCACCGTTTGGGCGCCGGATCCGATTACCATACTGATTGATGACCTATGGCGGTCTATCATTCACCACCTGGTAAGGTCTTGACAGTGGTACCTCTAAGTATTGCCATCGATCGAAGTAGCTAAGTGTCCAGTTGAGTAAGGGACGTTTATTTCGCGTTATGAGAGCATGACTTCTGTTAAACCCACCCTCCATACAATCGCTTCTGGCTAGGCTAGCCGGGGACACTGCACGCTTCGGTCTACTCTTTGTAATCTAAAGTTCACCGATGCTTGCGGATTATTGCTCATATCTGGTAAGAGGACAAAGTAGGCGACCCAAAAGTCATCCTGGTACTTTTCGACACCTGTCCGTCTGGTGCAGTGCTTGAATATTGTTCGGCCTTGAATTGCTTATATTGACTCGACCATACTCTTCTTCTCTCTGTCAGTCTCCTACTTCCCTATGTATGGCAGTCTATTCCTGTACACAGTCCAGCGAAACAGCGGCGTTGTCACATAGCGACATGTTAAAACATGACGAGGTTGCCTGAAGGACTTTGCTGGGTCCCTACGTATTATTTTACTGGATGGGTGTGTCGGGCTCAATAGCCGTAGACACCTTATGAAACTTAATGCAGTCGTGTAGCAAGTGGCATTGTTACGATAGATTTCTTGCGTTCGATTGTTAACTCGCCACCCCATATCGCGACAATACTGGACTGAACGTGGTGCGATGAGAAAATCGCAATGGTCTATTGAGCTATGCTAGGTGGTGATTTTTACACCTTCAGAACCACTCATACCAGACTGTTCAGTGTTAGAGCCCTCACAAACTCAGTCTCCTGGCCCTCTATGTTTGGGGTTGGAGTAATGCTGACTCTACTCCATAATACGGACTCAGTGTATCCTAGTACCAAAACCCCGCTGCCTTGCGGTAAGGCTTTTGAACCAAAGGCTTTAGTTGAGAACCCTAAACGTTCTCCTATCTAGTTTGGGCAGCTCTACAGTATCCTGCTTACGCAATATCATGAATCTTTTCTGAAACACTTTATTGGTACTCTGATCGTCGCACATGATAATCAACGGCGTCCTATCTGTTGCGTCGAGTCGAATGAAGAGGACTGACAATGCTACTGCTCAGGCCTTCCCGTATTTTTATTCCCCTGTCGCGCTATTTCATTCTTATCGTCCTCTTCCAACTTCACTTTTATCCTCTGTTTTTAAACTCCCCAATTCTTGACCCTCTCCCATTTTGCTACAATAGGTGTCTGCCTGGTAGTTTCTACTCACACTGATTCGCAAGGCGTAACTCCGGTTCCGTCGACAAGTCCATGTTGAACCAAGCGGACGAAGGCGGTTTCTCCGTTCCTCTTTTGAGCGCTCGATTCTCCCTAAGGCTGGCATGTCTCAACGTGCGCACTTTGTTAGCTTAAGCAATAGGCAGCATTTGCCCGAACACTAGAGGCCCTATCGATTGATATTTGCTGCTTCTCGGAAACCCGCCTGCACGACTCAACGTCGGTGATTACCCTGCGATCCCTCACACTCGACACTGGTGGCACTTTTTCGTCTCACTTGTCTAGAAATGACGCTATCTCAAATATTGGTCAATTGGATGTGGGCGTTGTTTGGAACCTAGTTGCGGCGCGCCTTTTCTACCTTCCATCTTACAAAAACGATCAGTTCACTGACCTGATGATAGGCATTACCCCGCCACACACTCTCAACTACATGACCTGGCCGCTTAGAATGAATGAGGTGGTGTCGACCTCTACACATACATATTGTCTCCAGTCCCTCACCAGCCTATGTCCCACTGTTCATGCTGCGATTCGACCTGGTCCCCGTATCTATCGTATTCAGCACATTTAAATTGTGTTTTGTATGTCTGTAAAGTCCGGACACATGAGTAAAAATGCATACATTAGATACAATAATGTCTTTCGTTTTGTCTGATACACTGGTCGCCCAGAACGCGCTTTGTTCATGATACTGCCTGTTTCCTTAATTCTTAATCACCTTTGCCACAACCAAAAATCAACTTGAATTCATTTCTCTTGACGTACATTAACTTCACCTGCTATTTTTCGATATGACCATCCTTCAGGTCCACTGGGAAGTACCATCACAACTCGTTCTTCCTTTGTTAAAGCCATTTTTAATATTTGGAGGCAAAAAGTTTGTTAACAATTTTAATTTTAATTTCCTTTTAATTTAGCGAAAAACATCCAATTATCCTGTGCCCAAACTTTACGGACACCTTGTACTTAGGGTGTACTCGCTTTCTGTTGCTATTTGCTCGGTATTTCCCGCTGTATCTGTTTGCGTTACTGGGACCCGTTCTTCGTTGGCCGTTCGAACGCTCCTCTGGACATTCTAGCATCACCATTACTGTACATTTTTGCCCTATGTTCTCAACCGAAAACAACCTGGTTGCTAACCACCACTCCCGAGGAGTATGTGGTGCGGTTTATTGTAACTTGCTCCTGAATATGCTTTTTGCTACCAGATCCCACCATGAAGCACTGGCCTACTTTCGATCTTATCCTCAAGTGGACACTCCTGATGATAGTATGTAGTGCTTTTTGCATGCTCGAGAAACAGAGATGTTCCACTTATGCCTCCATCACCATTGTCGCTCGAATTCTCTAAGAGGCAGAACACGCTAACTTATTCATCTTCTAATCCGCTTCCATTTTCTAAGCCTTGATGAACCATTACATTTCCCAGCGATATGGCAGCCGCCCTGTTGTCGTGGTTGGCGCTTTGGGCTCGTGCGTTAGTCTTTTGATCGCCGCCTTCGCACCGTCCATCGCAGTGTGGGTCGTGGCCGTTGGAGTCGGAGTCGGTAAGCTTGCACTTTTTCTTTGCTGTCATGCTCATTTTTCCTTTCAACTTCACTTGCTCCCCAGGCACTGACTGGTGAGTTTTACACCGTGTGTAGCTTTAACAATCCCTTCCCTGCATGTGATCTCATTCTCGTTTGACCTGCTTATTAACCCTGCGATAGTAAGCACCCGTGTAAACCCTAGTTAAGTCGAAACACTCATTGCACCGTTTGGGCGCCGGATCCGATTACCATACTGATTGATGACCTTTGGCGGTCTATCATTCACCACCTGGTAAGGTCTTGACAGTGGTACCTCTAAGTATTGCCATCGATCGAAGTAGCTAAGTGTCCAGTTGAGTAAGGGACGTTTATTTCGCGTTATGAGAGCATGACTTCTGTTAAATCCACCCTCCATACAATCGCTTCTGGCTAGGCTAGCCGGGGACACGCTTCGGTCTACTCTTTGTAATCAAAGTTCACCGATGCTTGCGGATTATTGTTCATATCTGATAAGAGGACAAAGTAGGCGACCCAAAAGTCATCCTGGTACTTTTCGACACCTGTCCGTCTGGTGTAGTGCTTGCATATTGTTCAGCCTTGAATTGCTTATATTGACTCGACCATACTCTTCTTCTCTCTGTCAGTCTCCTACTTCCCTATGTATGGCACACTATTCCTGTACGCAGTCTAGTGAAACAGTGGCGTTGTCATCTAGCGACATGTTAAAACATGACGAGGTTGACTGAAGGACTTTGCTGGGTCCCTACGTGTTATTTTACTGGATGGGTGTGTCGGGCTCAATGGCCGTAGACACCTTATGAAACTTAATGCAGTCGTGTAGCAAGTGGCATTGTAATCATAGATTTCTTGCGTTCGATTGTTAACTCGCCACCCCATATCGCGACAATACTGGACTGAACGTGGTGCGATGAGAACATCGCAATGGTCTATTGAGCTATGCTAGGTGGTGATTTTTACACCTTCAGAACCACTCATACCAGACTGTTCAGTGTTAGAGCCCTCACAAACTCAGTCTCCTGGCCCTCTATGTTTGGGGTTGGAGTAATGGTGACTCTACTCCATAACACGGACTCAGTGTATCCTAGTACCAAAACCCCGCTGCCTTGCGGTAAGGCTTTTGAACCAAAGGCTTTAGTTGAGAACCCTAAACGTTCTCCTGTCTAGTTTGGGCAGCTCTACAGTATCCTGCTTACGCAATATCATGAATCTTTTCTCAAACACTTTATTGGTACTCTGATCGTCGCAGATGATAATCAACGGCGTCCTATCTGTTGCGTCGAGTCGAATGAAGAGGAGTGACAATGCTACTGCTCAGGCCTTCCCGTATTTTTATTCCCCTGTCGCGCTACTTCATTCTTATCGTCCTCTTCCAACTTCACTTTTATCCTCTGTTTTTAAACTCCCCAATTCTTGACCCTCTCCCATTTTGCTACAATAGGTGTCTGCCTGGTAGTTTCCACTCACACTGATTCGCAAGGCGTAACTCCGGTTCCGTCGACAAGTCCATGTTGAACCAAGCGGACGAAGGCGGTTTCTCCGTTCCTCTTTTGAGCGCTCGATTCTCCCTAAGGCTGGCATGTCTCAACGTGCGCACTTTGTTAGCTTAAGCAATAGGCAGCACTTGCCCGAACACTAGAGGCCCTATCGATTGATATTTGCTGCTTCTCGGAAACCCGCCTGCACGACTCAACGTCGGTGGTTACCCTGCGATCCCTCACACTCGACACTGGTGGCACTTTCTCGTCTCACTTGTCTAGAAATGACGCTATCTCAAATGTTGGTCAATTGGATGTGGGCGTTGTTTGGAACCCTGGGCTGAAGCTGCCCTGATCGATTGGATCCCACTCGACAGCCGGATGTGCGTCGTCAGATTGGCTGATTCGTTCAAATCTTCCAAGTCGCGCGTGGACAAACCGTGCCTTTTTGTCTTTGCGACCTACGGGCCCACAAACTGTGGCATTGATTCGATGAAAGCTGAATTCTATCACCAACTGAACGCCATCCTCCGTTATAGAAAAACTACATACACTGTGGTGCTTGCTACTGATCTGAACATCCAAGTCGGAAACTTTTCCAGTGATGACATGCATCTGGGCGGCCAACATGGTGTAGGCTCCCGTAATGATAACGGTGAGGGATTGCTGCACCTATGTGAAGATGTTCTTATATTTCTCGCGAGCACAAACTTTCGACACAGCACTCGCAAAAGATTGAGTTGCCGCCCATCAGCCTCGGACCAGCCATGGACGCAAATCGATCACATCGCGATCAATTACCGTTGGAGTGACTACGTCCAAAACTGTCGCCCGACTTGGAGCACGGACGTAGACTCCGATCATCCTCTTGTGTGTGCCGATCTTCGGTTGCGTTTCGGAGGGCGTCCGCAGCGCCGCTATGCGCGCATAGATACCAGCCAATTGGCGAAGCCAAGTGTTCTGAATGCGTATCAAAGTATGATTTCGGAAGCTTTTGAATACAACTCGGTTTTTGTAGGTTTTTATTAAGGAAACGTTTCCCTCTTGACGCAAGAGCTTCTTCAGGCCAGCGTATCAAACTACGCTGGCATCCGGCTGAGTAATCGCCAACTGAACACCGTTGAAGGTCACTGGTTGCGTATTCGCCAGACGTTACTATCAGTAGGCATGTGTTCATGTTGCAAATCAAATTGCCATTGAGTCTGTTCACAGTCTCTGGAACTTCTGGATGCTCGCCGACTTGTGCCTGCTGTGCACGAACTCAACGAAACCCTGCAGTACTCAGGGCAGGGCTGCGTGTTAACCTGAAGAGAGACCGCGAAATCTGGTGGTGTCATTGTGCATCGGAGATGGAAATGCCTACTGCCTTGTTAACCACCCTAAGTTATTCCGTCTGATACGTAAATCGGGCAGCAAGAGACCTGGCGTTGGCGAGACTATATGCGATGAGAGTCGATAACGTAACCACAACTTGTCAACACACTTGGAGCGTTGAGCCAAGCACTTTTAAACGCAGTTTACTCAGTGAGAGTTACTAATTCCCTCATCGGCCAGTAATCGCCCTTCTATTTGACTCCCGTTGGATCCGCCTCACGTGCTTGTGCCGGACGTGAGATCAGACTGATTAAATTGAGGAGCAGATATACTTCATCCAGCCATTTTCAACTTCATGAGACCAGCTCTTGTGAGTAGTTTGCGCAGCTTGTGAAGCTGGGGTAGCAGGAGACTGTCCCAGCAGGCTGGATGTGCTCCTTTGCACTACTAATTTTCAAGAAAGGCTCTTTGTCAGATTTCGGCAATCATAGAGGAATCCGTCTGATCTCAACTGCCTCCAAATTGCTGACGTCTGCCGTACTTCACCGACTGGTGGGCACTCGTGAAAGCCAGATTGGCGAGGAGTAAGCCAGGTTTCGTCGAAATCGAGGTTGAATTGACCACATCTTCACAATACACCAATTATTGGAATGGTTAGCAGCATTCAGTTTCAGATTTGTCTGTCACTGTGGCCAGCCACAGGAGGTCTGCGCCTACAGAGCGACCATGGGTGGCTTGCGCTGCACCACCCACAGTTCCATCCACACACCCCGTATCCAATGTAAACCGGAAGGAATAAGACCGGGAGGCATGTGGATGGGAGCCACGTTTCATCAACGGAGCCGGCCCACACTCCTTCACAGGCAAACACAAGCACGCTGTATTTGGGGAACCAAGTGCACACAAGGCGGTGGCTTGACCGTAGTCCGCTCCACACTGAGTGCATGGAACCACTCTTCGAGCCTAACGCGGCCACAAGGACCGTACATCCCGTCCCCTCCAGCAACGACCAACTGTCTCCTGGAGCCAGTATGGACGAGGTAGTGGGTAGGCACCTTGTCTGCATGCACATCAAGCGCAACCACACCGGGAGTATCAAGCAACAGCCAATCATTTGAAATTATTATCAGAAAAGTAGATCAGTTAAATTATGCGGCTATGCAGACATCACTCACCATTAAATTAGCATGTGAAGTAAGTTGGTTATCAACGAATTAGCGACAAGTACAAAATGTCCACAAATTACTCGAAAAATGCTACGAACGCAATAAATTTAACGGAGATAAGCGCAATTGGCGTAAGCAACGTGTGCAAGTTAATAGATTATTCAAGTTGTCAGAACCAACCAACTAAAGTAGAATGAAACTTATCCAGCTTAGAAAGACCTAGTTTAAGTTGGTTTAACCCAACTGCGGTGAAGAAGCATCATAAATGCAACGTCAGCCTCAGCATGAAATACCGCCCCATTTATTGACGACCCACCATAGTCGTATTCCTCGTGTCTTTGATTCGGTTGATCGATGTACCTTTACAGACTGTCTGCTGAAGAAAGGTGTGCCTGAGAAATGCGTAAACATTATTAGATCTTTATGCAAGCGCATTTTGGGTACAGTAAAGGTTTATGGCAAGCTATGGCCGCCTTTTAATATCTCCTGCGGTTTGAGACAAGGTTGCTCATTGTTACCTTTCCTCTTTTGCTTCACCCTTAACGAATTCATGGAGACAGTGTTGGTTGGATACGACCTACAAGGTGTGGAGCTGCTTCTTCGTGAGTGACTTCTTGATCTGGAGTATGCCCATGACATTTCCCTCATATCTGACAGCTCACAAACGTTCAAAGCTGCACTGGACTGATCAACATTCTGTCAATCGCTTAGGGCTATGTTTTGCACCCTCGAAATTCAAAGTCCAGCAAGATTGGCAGGGACCCGTCCCTGCGCTGACTCTTGGTGGTCATCAGCTATAAGCCGTTCAAAAATTCAATTATCTGGGCAGATATATTGGCGTTTGTGGTATGGAAGTGAGGTCAATAACCGTATAGCAAAAGCTCTATTCGCTATTGCCAATCTCCACCAGTTGTGGCACCGCCGACATGTGTTGTGCATGCCAGCACACCGACTCACGCTTCGTGCGGTTTGCGCGACCGGACTGTTGATCTAAGAACAAGTGTGGAGGCCAGGCGATGACACGTTCAAGAGGAATGAAGCT